GAGGAAACATCAAATTATATTTGAATATTGAGATTTACCAGCTGAAATGAAACAAAACTTTGCTAACTCACAGGGAAAATCTCAAATTTAAGGAATTTTTCCTCAAAATCATGTTTTTTGTTGCTACTGCTCAAAAAAGTGCTTCAAATTTTTGTTTTATGATTAAATTTCAGACAATTCATTCAAATGATACATTGATATTTCATTATGATTCATTATGTTTTGACAAAATGCAATTTTTGCAAATGTTTTTATCAAAACACTATAAAGTATACTTATTGCACTTAAAATTGTGCTTTTGTACAACTTAAACACAACTAAAGTATATTTAGTATTAAATTAGTTGTTCCAAAATAGCACTCTTTAAGTATACTGATGATTAATGTGGCTTCAAGTATACTACACCAGGGGTTCTTAACCTTTTTGACCTCGGGGCCCAATTTATTGAACATAAAGTGACACGAGGCCCAGTCACACATTACCAATGTATGAATCAAAATGATAATTATTATAACTCTTGGTTTAATTTTTATTATATTTGCATTATAACTAAATTATCATAACTAACAAAAAAACTAAAAAAAACTGTAAAACTAATTTGACAAAATGCAAATTTAAATATAGCTGTATCTGCAGCTGTATTTGATAATGTTTTGAACTTTTAAAATATTACCTGGTAAAAACAGAAGCTGCTCTTCATATTAGTGACAAACTTTGGTGTTTTTGATGAGTTACTTTCATTTTTMRTTCTYCTTTTCATTTAAAATAAGTTTCCATTCTCAGCAGGTTTCTAAGGTTCTTCTTCTACATATTAAAAAGTTGTTAAACATCTGAGTGGTGCACTACTGCTACTAGTGGTGAGAAAGTGTATTGCACCGTATTCAAATCAATGCGGTCTCACAGCCCTCTGTGGCACAAAGTTAAAAACTGTTGTTCTTTTGAGGCCCTCAAGGTGGCGCTGTGGCCCACAGGTGAAGAATCTCTGTACTAAAGAATACTTAGATTTAGTATACTTAGTGAAATATTTTTTCACGTGGGACTATATTTGCCTGTTTCTCATTATACCACTTTTAGACTTAATCTTTGTTTCGATGTGATGGGTCACATATAACAGGATGTTAGTCTAAATCCTTGACATAAAATGARAGGCTTATAATTATTTTATTTATTTGTACAAAATTAAAACTGATTTTTTTTCTTCTAGATTCCAGTTCCTCTCCTTGCTCTAGTTCTCCAAACTCACCTGTACCTCAGGCTCGTCCGAGCTCCCTTCATGTTCATGGGCGCTATACCAAAGCCAGTCGCTGTAAGTCCACTGGCAGTATCCCTCCTTCACCWCTGGCCTGTATCCCACCCCCTCAGCCCCTCTCTCCACAGTGCTCTCCATCCTGTCTTCAGACTCATCCCAAACCCCTTCAGAGTTTTCATGGGAAGACAGCGTCTCCCCCCACTGTGGCCCGTCACTCCATGCATCCCAGGAGCGTAGAACCGCTGCGCTCGCCACTGCTGAAAAGAGTCCAGTCAGCAGAGAAGCTGACTGGAGACAAGGCAGGTCTGGGGACTTACCATGGTGAGAAGAAGGGTTACAGCACTCGCTGCTATACCATGGAGATGCCTCTGTCTGAAGGAGAGGGGCTGGAGGAGGAAGGAGGAGAGGCTACTACAAGGTTTGTCTGTGTTGGGGAGCATGGTCGCCAGAGGTTGTTCAAGGGCGTGCAGAAAGACCACCAGGACTCTGCCAGTGGGGGCAGCAGCCACCATCATGCAGACAGCCACCAGTCAAAGAGAAAGACGGCTCTGTCCGAGCGCAGGGACTCCTTCAAGAAGCAGGAGGCTGTGCAGGAGTTGTGCTTCAACGTGGATGAAGAAGAGGAGCTGCAGAGTCCACATCTTCCCTTCACCCAGCCAAAAACGTTCAGGAGGTCCCCAGTTAACCCATCCCAATCAGTTAACCCATCCCAACCAGTTAACCCATCCCAATCAGTTAACCCATCCCAACCAGTTAACCCATCCCAATCAGTTAACCCATCCCAACCAGTTAACCCATCCCAATCAATTAACCCATCCCAACCAGTTAACCCATCCCAACCAGTTAACCCATCCCAATCAGTTAACCCATCCCAACCAGTTAACCCATCCCAATCAG